GGTTAATAAAGTGACAGATTGGAATGCTTTGATTCGTATTTTGCCGCAATATGAGGTTAATATTCATAATTCAGTGTTTGCTTTGCATTCAATCGACTCATTAGATTGGCATTCAATCTGATCTGATTTAATCGTGAACATTTGCTGAATTTGTTCTCACCTCTTTCTTTCTATTAGCAAACAGCACGGATCCTTTGGAATTCACTTATCTTCTAAAGACAAAACAGAAAAAATGTACAAGGGAAACACTTTTTCCCCCTACTCCGCTCCCGGCCAGCGGAAATGCAAGGCATGTCTGTATAGTGCAGTCGCTTTGAAACAACAGGTTCTTATCAAACAAACAGATTAATAAAATCTCCAATCTACCTTTAATAGGAAAACAAACATCATTATTTGTCCACGAATGACATCTACCACTAGATAACGCTCATTGTGGGCTTTTCAATGCAGAGTTTCATCTTGAAATGTGTGAAAGATACCTGGATACACGCAAATTTATGAAGGACTAGCGGTGTCTTTGACGAAATCCCCCTCGGACCGTGATGATGGTTTTAAAATACTCCTAGTACTAGTAAGGTAAATCAAACAGAGTAAAGCATAAACAAATAGCTTATCCTGCCAGGGTCTCAAAAACGCCTCTTAATATGGTAGATTATGTAGGTTTAGCTTCACAGAAAGTCTCCAATTTGTTTTCATCCGTTAGTTTAAGCATATCTTCTAGGCAAGGGTGAATATGACACGAAGGTAATTGTTGGTAGTTAAAGATTAATGACTCAAAATATTCCCAAAAGTTGTTAAGTTTTGAAATAACAAAAACATGGTTTGTAGCATTAGAAAGATACAAATTTTCTTTTTAATATGTACATTGATATCTTAGTTCCAAAAGAACATGGTACCTCTTATAAATTGGAAGCTGCGTTGTACAGTAAGCAACTCTTTCTACTGAATTTGAAAGATTCCAATGACAATGAGTACCTGGATAGTTGGATAGTAAACACAACCAATACTTAATTAAAATGTTATTCATGCGTAGTTCGTAAATTCTTACAAACAATTATTGTACCGCAACCCTTCACATCATAAGCTTTAATACTTTTGCAACTCCTTCAATACCATGCCTGTTTTTTACGCATCTATGACAGCGTCAAGTCATCCAAGGTAAAGACTACACTCTTAGCAAATCATTTCCGTGGAATAATATTTATTTTTACCAGACGATGACAATTAATTACCGCAAATATGTAGTCTTCCGCGCTGAGGTCATATAATCGCTATATATATAAGATGGTCTCGGACAACATATGGAAGAAATTGCAAAGATCTGTGACGTAAAAGGCGGGAGCGGATCATATGACTTTATATTCCTGTTCCATCTAGGATATAGAGATATGTCTGTGAAGTCCATACCCTGATTTAAGAAGAAATAATTAGGTTCATCAAGGTGGCGAACAGTTAGATTTTTGATCGAATGTCAGCTTTAAATTGATTTGGACGAGGTTAGGCGATTATTGTGACATTTCGATAACAATACACCTATATCAACAAAAACAAGCCAAAATTCAATTATCTCAATAGAGTTTTCCAAGCGTGTTCAGTACGATAATCAAATCAAACCTCGTCGTGTCCTCAAGCACAAACTATTCATTTGACATGAGATTATCCTTTTTATGCATAAAAGGCATGCGAAAAAAGGAGACAAATTCCTCACACATTTTTTTCCTCCTTTAACTTTATGTATTTTTAAAATTAATGGACAAGTCTCCATAATTTTCCATGTTTAAGAAATGTTCTTTAAAATTCTTCGATCTTTTTCATTAATATTGCGCCTTTTTTCGCCTTTTCGTCTCGCTCGAATGCACTTCTAGCAAGGTGGCAATTCTTTGATCTGCGTTTGTGCAGTAAAAGATGAACCCTTCGTATCTTGATACTGTTCAAGGAGGCGTGGCTTTTAGTGTAACAGACCGATTCTCCCAATAGTGTCTCATGTGATCTGGAGTTCTTTTTACCTGTCAACAAACTAGAGACCAATCGTATACCGGAACGGGCTCATTCTTATATTACAAATTACTGATGAAACATTTCGACTCCTATTTTTGTTTTCTTTTCCTTATCATCACTCAAATTCTCAATGCCTGCAAAAGGATTTTAAAAAATATACCTCCAAGAAATGGTGTAGTATTTTCTGCATAAAAGAAATCACAATATTGGTAAATCGCTGGTGGGAAACAATTGTGGTACTTTCTTAACCAAAATAATGTCTTGGATTAATTTTAAAAAAATTAACTTTGTGATTGTGAATGGAACTTATGTCTAACAAACCACGATGATTGCACATAATGGGAATTAGCAGTTCTACTAAGTTTTCAGTGGGAATTCTTTACCTGACCTTCTGTGTATACGGCGAATTTTTGTGAGTAATTCGACCTCATAATGATAATTCCTATCTGTCAGTATTTTTTTATAAGTCCAACCATTGTGTAGCCATTGTCAGTATTTAAGAGAAGAGATAACTGAATTGTATAGATGATTATTCGCTGATTGACTAAAATCATTGATAAAAGTCTATGAATGAATTTTTTTGGCACTTTGCTGGGACAATTGGATTGAAATTCTTTGCATATTGCAGCTTGAAATATTCGTGCGTATAGATAGCCGACAATTACCCGGATTACATGTTTTAAAAAAATTATCTGTATAGTAAAACCATTACTGTATTTTGACAAGGGTATAGAAGATAATTTTGACCCTGAAAATAATGTGTAATCTTTCAAATTGTCACTTACAGGTAATTTATCATTTTTGAAGTGAAAAATCGCGGTGCTTGTGTAATTAAGCAAGTGTTAGACAAGTCAAAAAACTCTTGAACTTCTACAGAAAACATACACCAATAGTCTTTATATCTTGAAATGTCTACAATTTTTGTTTATGAAATCGTTTCTGACAAGATTTCAATGAAATACGTTGTTCCATAACGTTGCATATGAAACAGATAGGGTGAAATATAAGGCGCTCTTCTACGAGTGCACAGGCAATTCAATAGGCATAAAACATAATTCTGAAAGGTTCTTCTGTTCAGGCTTTAGACAGTTAATTTTTCATTACGCCCTTTTACTAAGCTCTTCTAAGTCCCTGATAATCCATCTGAGTACACCAAATGCATAAAAAATATTCTACCATTTGTTTCTCTCTTTCTCTGTCCATTTAGAGATAAAATAAATTAAATAATATTTGTCACTTCGTAATTCTATAGGCAATTAATCACAAATCAATCGGCATGCATAATACATGTAATTCAGTCGATTTTCTTCTCTCTCTTTCCTAGTCAAGATATTTATGTCCTATTTATGGCACGTAGTCTTCCACTAGATATTTTGGTGTGACAAAGACATTTAAGATGTTTTCAATCAAGGGTGAATTAAGTCCCCATCGCAAAAATAAAATATATGGAAAAGAAATAAATATAATTTAATAAAAATCAATAATATTATTTGATTTTGAAACTATTCTTTCTAACCTGTTCGCTAAGTGTGCAGATGTTGCCGAGAATTTTATAATTCTGTGTCCATTGTTAAATATTTTTTACTAGAGTCAATTTTTTTTCTTACCATAATAAGCTTTTATTCTGATTTTAAACTATTCGAAATATTCTTTGTTTTAAGTGAAAAGTGTTCTTCTTTAAAATGAAAAAGGTCATTTTTTTTTTATTTTTAGCCAGAAACTTTATTTTTCTATTAAATGAAGAGACTCTTACTGCTGAAAACATTCACAAACACTTCCTACCTCGGACTTCCATATCTATACGATATATGTATTAAGAGAATTCAGTAATGAGTTAAAATGCTCAAGTAATCTTAATTGATCTTCTCCTTAACTTTATGGAAGAAAGCTAATTAATACGTAATTAAACTGCTTCTATATATACCATTGCTTTTTAACTTCTTTTTCATAGTAAAGAATTGTAATGGTGTGAAATTCAAATTTGTGTAATACATGTGCCAAATAAATAAATAAAATAAAATAAAAATAAAATTTAATAATCAATAATCATAAAGTAAAATTACAATAATGACATTTACCTGCATATTTAAATGTTGTAACTATACTTTCTTCATTACTGATCATTCTTTATAACTTCCCGACACCTATATGTCATTTCCCCCTTTTCTGTCCTGCATGTACGACCAAGAAAATAAATATCTGTTCGTAAATGGTTTATTTCGGCGGTGAATATACTAATAGATTGTTTTCTTCTCCTATAAGGTGTTGGCACATAGACAGACAAATGTTCGCAGGCTGTCATTGGATATCGATGTTCTACCTCTTATGGTAAATCTCTATTCTCAGTTTATTTCCTCGCTGATTTAGGAACTCTTGGACATAGTGCTGATATCTAGTTGTTCTCACTGGTAAAATAGACTTTGACACAGACACGGATAAAAAGTTATGGAAGTGTTTTTATTATCATTGCTTGTAGTTTGGCCATATAATATACAGATATATTGAATATTGATTTGTAGCACTTTTTAAATAGGAAACAATAACGGTTAAACCTTTTTTTTTTAAATGAAAGCAAAACCTTAAAGATTTTGCAATACCAAAAGATCTTATTTGTGACTTATAATAACAACTCCACAAGTTGAGTTTAGAAAAAGCGTAATGACAGGTTAACACAGTTGCAAGATCTATAGAAGTATTGTTTCGTTTATATATCTATCAAGTATATCACTTGCAAAATGGGATATTGAATTTCAAAAGGTTTGGGACTGACAGGGAAGGATAAAAAACACACAATATAAAATATGTTTTCCAATCTGCATAATATAATAGAATCATCCAAATGTTCAAACTTGTGATGAAATGGGGGGGTTAGAAATAGGGCACTACCTCTTTCTAAATCCACCTATGATTATATCAATAAATAAAATACTCTACTTTTCATTACCATAGGTATCTGAGATTGTGAAGAATCTTTTCTTATTTATTTTTCTTATTTTTTATAGGGCATTGTCATCAGTGGTTGCCCTCCGAGCCAATTTCATTTGTAACAGAATCCCCGGTTTAACTCCTCGACAACGATCCATTTGCCGGAAAAGGCCGAACGCAATAGTTACGATCGGAGAAGGAGTACAAATGGGAATTAACGAGTGTCAATATCAGTTCCGGAATAATCGCTGGAACTGCTCAAGTAGCGGAGCAGAAAACACCATGTTTGGTCACACACATAAAGTTGGTAAGTACTATGGCTTTTTCCTGGTATCTAAGATTATTTGTTATACATGTATGTAGGGTCTGTCTAGTATTTTGTACATGTATATGTACATGTATATTATTGAGGAGGAGGCATAAATAATCACAGATTGTAATAGACTTGAGATACAGAAAATATGAACTTTACAAAATCAACAGTGATTGCATCTCCAACTTCTCCACTTTAAAACCAAAATATCTAATACAATGTCTTAATTCGCACTTAAAAAAAAGTGTGCCCATTTCATCAATTTCAAGTTCATCTAAGTAAAAAAATATCACTCTGTTCATTGAGCCTATTGATGAAAATGGTTATTAGCATGGCTATTTTCATTTGTTAGACAGTTTGGTATGGACATAGATCTGCATTCAGTCAGCTGACATTAGTGACCTGACAACTCGTTTAATGGCAGACGGAACAATAAACCATAATGATTGTCAGTCTCGGGTCACTTCTGTCCGTTCTTATTAGAAACTTACGATCTAAGTTTCGTAGGTGTGAACTTATTGCCAATACTATGTAACAGAAACGTATGATTTCATATAGGTGTGAACTTATTGCCAACACCATATAACAAAGACATATGATCACATGTAGGGGTGAACTTATTGCCAACACCATATAACAAAGACATATGATGACATGTAGGGGCGAACTTATTGCCAACACCATACAACAAAGACATATGATCACATGTAGGGGTGAACTTATTGCCAACACCATATAACAAAGACATATGATCAATGTAGGTGTGAACTTATTGCCAATATCATATAACAAAGACATATGATCAATGTAGGTGTGAACTTATTACCAATACCATACAGCAGAATCATATGATAACATGTAGGGGTGAACGTATTACCAATATCATGTAACAAAGACGTATGACCACATGAAGGGGTACACTTATTGCCGGCACTAACAAACACATGTGTTCTGAGTTTCGAAGGGTCGAAACTTTCAAAAGTCGAAGATGCGCTTTCTATCGTAAGCTCTTAACAACTCATAAGTTCAATGTATGTTGATAAATGAAACACATTGATAAGAAAATCGTGAGAATAACCTTTCTAAATTTTATGGAGAAAATATTTAACTATAGACCCCAAATTCTATCATTGTTCTCCCTCGGCAAAAAAAAGCCCAACCATTTGAAATACTATTAACATCAGATACTCTCGGGAATAAAAGAGCGAATACGTGGATTAATTTACATAATTATGCATATGGTCAGTCATAATTATCTATTTACGTCTATATTCAAATGGTTTCGAACCTATATCCAAATAATTGAATCAGATAATCGACAGATTTTTTAACTCATTTTTTAGCCTAAATTCGTAAAAAAAGATTTATTTAACCTGAACCATTTTTTCATCCTTCAGTCCCTAAATCGATTCTATAAATTAATGCATCTATTCGTTCTTTTTGATTTCTGAATACATCTGATGTTAATAGTACTCAGTATCTCAAATGCTTCGGCTTTTTGTGGAGGGAGAAAAAAAAAGACAGAATATTGGGTATAAAATAAAATGATTTTTATTAAAATTTTTAAAAAGTTATTCTCACGGTTTCCTTATCAATGTCTTTCAATTCACAGAAGAATATAGACGCTGGACCATATCAAAAATAACTCCGAATACCAACAGCAGACCAAAGCACAGATTATGTGTATACATATAGTAATAACATTCAAACCTATTAAAAGAATTCGTGAAAAAATATTATCGTAAATCGGAAGAATACCCTATAATCCGTGTCATCGTCTATTTGTATTTCAGATTCAAGAGAGAAATGATAATATTGACTTTTCTAAACACCTGTTTGAATGACAAAACTGCGACATTCGCAATGACGGGCGGAGAATCTAAGAACAGACGATTAACATGTTTCATTTTCCCTTCTTTTTAGCCCACTTTAGAATACCTTTACCGGGGATTAGTAATAGATATATTGACACTGTATGCTTCGCTCTTTAATGAAAAATAAATTCGTTTACTTGTTTAAATATAAACATTGACAAGGAATCGCGGGCACGTTTTAATCGTCTGAATTCTTCTTCACACGTCTAGGGAAAACTCGATTACCACGACACCTTCGCTCTATTCGGCAAAATGGTGGGAATAGTTCACGAACAATTTAGCAAGGTAATGACAAAAATGGTTCTGAATCGAGCAATTTTGAAAACTAATATACCATGATAAACACATTTTTCAATATTTATTTTCCAACACGAATTACAAAAATTTTATGGTCTGAAAAACGGCCTTCGAAAAAGGAAATTTTAAGAGATATATTTGATGCGAGTCGACGCCTAAATTGGCTTAAAAAATTTCCAACTGATTAAGTTTGGTGATGAAATCTGTTTGGACATAAACATACAAGAAACGTTTAGATTTATTTCCCACTGCAATTAACGATGAAAAGTTAAAGAGCAGAACAGGTGACTTAGACAAAGTTAAACCTTTTATACAAAAAAATGCATGTACGAAATAAAATATATCAGAGAAATGAAAATGATCTTATCGTATTTCTTTAAATTATTTTCACCCATTTTATTACGTTACTGGAATATTTATCAAAATGATAGTCTTTAAAACCCCAGTATATATCACTTAACGTACCCAAATTGGAAAATAACAAGTTCCTGAATATGGATGGCCAAAAAAAAATATGTTTCAATATAAAATTTTAAAATTAGTTAGATACATCAGAATACATATTAGTAATTATTACTTAATACATGTACATACAATATTAAAAGGTATACCATTATGAGAGTGATCGAGCATAATTTTGTTTGTTTTTTTGTATGTTGTTTAACGTCCCTGTCGAGAATTTTTCACTCATATGGAGACGCCACCACTTGCCGGTGGAGAGCTGCAAATTTTGACCTATACTCGGCACTTACGGCCATTGAGCAGTGAGGGATCTTTTTTGTGCCAACACCTAGTGCGACACGGGATCTCGGTTTATACGGTCTCATCCGAAGGACCGGTCTCCACGTCCCACAGTGGGATTCGAACCCGCGACGTAAGGATCAACTCCTTACCTCGCGACTCAGAGAAGACGCTCTAACCACTGCGCCACGCGGGCGACATCGAGCATAATAAATAAATGGCAAATACATACACCGTGTTATATCGGAGAATTATTATTATGAAACGCTTAAGAATAACAAATAATTTATTTATGAAATATATATTATACGTATCATTAATGGAATGCAAAGTTATATATATATTTTTTTCATCAGTGGTTACTACATACACCGTACCAAACAGTAACTCTCGGGAAAACTACTATCTTGTACTTTGGAAACGTGCATTGCTAATCCTGAATGAAAGGAAAACTGCTTTGGTAAAAAAGCATTGCCATTCAATATTGAGTGGGGTGAAATAATTCTCGTGTCACCTGAATCCTCACCTCTGCAAATTGCAAAATAATGGCATGGAATGCGACCTCAAGTCTTAGAGCCTGGGGTTTGTCCCTCCCCAAACAGGGGACACAAAATCTATCTCGTGCACTTCATTGAATATCAATACCCTCATGCCCAATTACAAACAGGAGCAGCTGTGAGGACCGACATCCGTACAATGGAGGTGTCCCCGCCCCCAGCGTCGGTCTACGTACCGAACAGCGACTTTTTGCACGAAATTAGATCAACAGTCGACTGAGTGTTTCGGATCATATTATTTTCCCCATCAGAATCCTCGCGTGTGGACTTTATTACTAAACTGGACATACAGGCAGACCCGTGCATTGTGTCGTGTCTTTTGTGATTTGACAGACGCCACGAGGCGGTTGCTATCACTAATATGCCTCTTGTGCCCGACCGTAAAATTGTTCGAAAGGGTCAAGGAATTCTTATTAGTAATATTTCTGTATGAATTTCTCGTCTAGTTATGGATCTTTTGCAATTACTTTTGTCTACGCTTTACTTATTTCGGGTCTATTTCCGCAATTACACTGAAGGAAGGGTTAACGTTAGTCTGTCTGTTGCTTTAAGTACAACAGTTTTAGGTTAACTATCAATCTTTTAAAAAATAGTATCGATAATCCTTTAGGTCATACACGACACGTCAAAATGTCAAATAAAGATGAGTACTTTGTATCTGTATACCAGCAGTTAGCAAAGTCAAGGACGCTTTGCTCCAGACAAGGATAGTGCACCATAAAGGCGCGCAATTAGACAACATATATTTAGCAGATAAGCAAAGTGATATCTCTTTTGTGGATGTGACAGTTCAGACAAGTGCCATATATTAATTATGCAAGCCCAATTAAGCAAGATTATCAATATTATCAGAGTATTGAAAGAAATGTACAAATCCCTGCACTTTACAACAATAAGCGATTGGTGATATAAAGTGTCATAAATTACCTTAAGAAAAGACCCATCTTATATCCTAAAGAGGTTACATGTAAACAGTCATTTGTCTATTCTTGTCACGTGATTTGAGCAAAGTTGTCATCTTTATCAGAACTCGCTGAATGTCGAACCCGATAAAAATCGCACAAAAAATTAATAACGCTTCATCAATATTTAGGTTATTTAACCTTTAATGATACAAATCAGGCAATGAGGCTCTTTTTCCTTGATATAAGGAGTACCTATCGCATGTCCTTGTGACGTGGTGTTCATTAATTAAAATTCTGCAGGAGCGAACGCACAACTATGTACTTCATGACTTAAATTTCCGATAACGATTGGTATAATCAAAAAGACAGCAATTTTAAATGTTTAACTATCATGTTTATTACGTAATATGCATCGATCGGACGTTATTAATAGCCTGGATTTCTTTCTCCCTTCTCATTAAGACGATGGTGGTCTATAACAATATATCCTTAATCATTAAAGAACAAAGAAAACTATGTTCGTAGGAGATTAATAACAATGCAAACAGATAGTGCAGAAATAAGGGTCCAATTAAATGCAAAGTCTGCATGACGTAGAAAATGGATTTTCACGACAACATGAATTGCAATTCCAGAACCTTTAGAATACATTAGGAGAAGATCACATCTTCGAATATCACGATTTTAAGTTCTACATTCTCTCTCTCTCTCTCTCTCTCTCTCTCTCTCTTTGTATTTTGTGATATAAAATATTAGATAAACCATTGTTTTAAGGTAAAATCCTTAAAAAAGATTTAACAGGATGATACTGTGTCACTCAGTTAATTGAATGGCCAGTTACAGGTCTGGAAAAGGTGACTGAATGACAGAAGAGCTCTGCCAATTAGTCATCTTTCAGTAAGCTTTTCGGTTAACTGAATGGTGTAGCTTTCGATTAACTGAATGGTATAGCTTTCGGTCAACTCAATGGTAATGTTTCATCCTGTAAATATGTATAATAATATTTTGTTCACTATAAAGCAAAAAATCCAGAAAGTTTAACCAAATTTTAAAAAAGAATGAACGTATTATAAGATAAGAGCTATTTGAACATTTTCAAAGAATAGGATACTGAAATATAAATGATAAATGATGAATTAGACGTGAAATAATTTATTGCACATCTTTTCTGTCGTTATTGATTGATGATTAAATTCCAATTAATTCGCCATATTTATTTATGTACTTTAACGAAAACTGTAAACTAGATCAAAATCATGTACATGTACCACACTCCTAAGACATTTATGAAAATCATAAATCATATCTAACATTGTATGCTTCACTTTAAATACGTGTCCTTTTCCCCAGCGTACATAGTCAACAAAATAAAACACGACCAGTCTATTGAGTTCATCTTGTTACAACATCATATTACAAGCCAGAATATTAGATTTCATATTCATATTTATATTCAGTATGTGATAAGATTTATATGTTACACTGCGATTAATATGTTGTATCGACGTTGTCATATTATTACCAACATGAAGTTTGTTCAACTCGGAGACTTTTGTCTTTTTTTTACTTTTGTCCGATCATAAATTTCTTTTCTCTTGGGACCGTGTCGCTATCAATTTTTTCAAGCTGTCGTGTCTGGCCGAGAGAGTAAAACGTTTGTATGATCTTTAAGCGATCTGACAAGAACTTAAACTACACTTTTAATATATGTTTGACATTACTTTAAGATCAAAACATTAAATAAAAGTAATTCCTTAAAAATAAAATTCATAAGGTCTAATCAAGTGCATCCTAGATCTGGGAGAATTCGTCTTATCGTCTTTTTTTTTTTTTGAATACATTTTGACCCCCCTTTTTTATTTAGTTCACATCTTCGTTTATTGTGGTAAGTGCGTTCTGTGTAAATCCGATTTTTTTTAAAACTTGGCACGGCTTGGAATTTAAGAAGAAGAAGAAGAAAAATGATGATAATTCAGTGATAAACTCCTATTTATAAACATGTACTAAAACTTAAAACTATTTCTAAGGAAACTAGTTTTCAAAAAGAATATTCCCAGTGACGAAAAGACTTTAAGCAATATATTATAATATATTTCTTTACATCCATAGCACAATGAATATGTTGTGTATAGGAATTGCAATGTATACTATCGTAATTTATATCTGAAAAAATATCTTCGTTTAAACCACATGACTTCAAACTTTCTCTTTCTTCTGGAACAGGTCCGTAGGAACCGTAAGAGGGATGGGAGAGACGTGTCCCCAATAATTTTGCCAATATATACTTTACTATAGAAAACGAAGCTGATTCAGAGTTGTGCCCCCTTAATAAGTTTGCCAGTATAAACTATAGAAAAATTTAAACTAATTTATAATTGTGACCCCTCAAAAAAGTCTGATTTTTTTTTTTTTTTTGGCTCGTCGAGAATTTCTGTTAGGTTATGCCCCCTCCACCTAACTGAAATTGCTTTCTACGGCGGCCTGTAAGGGGCGAACTTCATTTTAAAATCTTACGTACTCTTTTTTTTTCAGGGAGTAAAGAGGCGGCTTTTACGTATGCAATAACGTCCGCAGGAGTGACTTATTCCATAACACAAGCCTGTAGTTTGGGAAAATTAAAACGGTGCAGCTGTGACCAAAGTAAAAAGAAAAGCCGAGTGATAAATGCTGGTTGGAAATGGGGAGGATGCAGTGCGGATATCAAACATGGACTTAAATTTTCTCGTAAATTTCTGGACGCGCGGGAAATCGAGCAAAACGCAAGATCTCTTATGAATAAACATAATAACAGAGCCGGAAGAAAGGTAAGTAAATTTCAACAAAATTTTCACGAGCATTCTGGATATAAAAATCGTGTTTAAAAAAGGTGCACAGATAATGAAGAAGAATAGCACAGTAATCACCAATTAAAAGCGTATACACGTATATATTTAGTTTAGATGAATGCGTAAAGACATGGCTGTATTGGTTTCTTATACATAAGCTTTGGTTTAGCTGTACTTAAACTGGAGTTAAACAATTGTAAAGATTATGTTTAAAACAAATACATTGCGTTTCCTTCCTTTACAAGTGTACATACATTCGTGTCTATAAGTGGCTTTTTCAAAGACAAAAATAAATCATCATTTAGACTAAGGTAATCTAATTTTATCCAAAACAAATACAAAGCCTTTCAACGCCATACAAAAATTTAGATAAAATCAGCTAATTATACACACGCAGGTTACAAATCGTTACAACAAAAATGAAAACGCTAAATGCATCGTTATATTTTCAAAGAACAATTGAAAGAAGACATGTCGATTATTTCCAGAATCGATCTATTGTCCAGGTTTACGTTCAATAACAGAAAAGAAAGACGTGCCCTGGTCTCTAACGCTTTTGTCTTTAAATGGGCTTATTATGGTACAACTTAAATTACACTGCAAGATCAATTTACAATCTGGTTATTGCATAATTTAAATAAGATCAAGTCCTGTAAAATGAAAGAAGAAGATGTTATCAAACGATGTTAAAAGTTGTAAATTAGTTACACGATGTTATGCTTTAAACACGCAAACGCCCTCACTGAAACATTGTAAAACGTGGTTCCGTCTTACCATTTCGAAGGGAAATTTGCTTTACGACAATCACGTACGACCACTTTTTGACATGTCAAAAGAACACTATCGTATCTATCGCAACGTTTGTTGATACAACTATCGTAAAATGTCGTAAATTAATTTACTGTGTAATAACAGAACTAGTAAATTTACAAAAATTTTCCACCTGAAATGTAATTAGATTTTCCTGATTTATACTTAAAACACCGATTCAGGCTTTAAGGCGCCGTTGTATTACATTATTCGAATCGTGTGAAGGGTCCTTCAAGTTAAAAGTAAAGCCATTTCTAATCCACTAGAGGACGCTATAATACGTTTTATCGACCAATATTCATGTAAGAATCTTTTCAGTTTTTATTGAACTCTTCTTCAACAAGTCTATCATTGATGTTCGATTCTTTAATACGAATCTTATTCCAGGCCACATATACACTCTTTCTCTTGCGAATATTAGGTGCATTTTAATTCTGAAAGCCAATAATCCCCCTAACGATATAAAATCATATCAATTAGACTGTGTTCATGCCTTCCCGCTAATGTAGGTATATTAACAAAAATTAATAATATATATTTATCAAATTCACCCTTTGAATACTGTATGTGTATATTTTTTTTTTTGTAGGTAGGTAGCATTGAACCATTTATTTAGTTTATACAGAATTGAACTGTATGTGTATACTTATTACAACTAAATGTTTTTAATTATGAATGGTAATCCATTGGTTGATGTCACTCAGAGAAAATGTCAAAATATGTATGAATGTAAAAACGTCATCCGAATATGGTCGAAAAACCACAACTACCCACATGTCAAACAGTTTATTTCTGTTTCACAAGCATTCCATATTTTCCTAACGTAGGCCATATTTCACCATCTATGGCCCGTTAGCAAAAATCATTCATTCATTTATTTACGCCTATACATGTATTACCCAAACAGAAAACACTGTGGGAATTATCTATTTACTCGCAATACCCTGTGTTTAGTTTTAATGGGTTAAAGGAAAAAGATCCTATAACATATTAACCGTTTGTGTGAAGATTCTTCCGCAGATTGACGAAAATGTAGATTGTTCTGTCTGGAACGGAATCGGGACAAAACTCGTAAGATCATTTCCTCATTCAGAACCAACAAACGTGATAATTAGAGATAAATAATTGGCGTGTTGTCTGCATGAAAGGAATTACCCTTTAGAGACAGAATAATTCACTCATCATTATAGATCTGTTACAATCTAATCAGATTTCCAATTCAATCCGACCGATTGGTTTTAAATTCTCCGGTTTCTCAGTTCTTGGTAGGTGTTAGGAGAAGCAAGGTGGAAGGTCGCTTCGGAAATTGGGTGGGAGAAAATGACTTTCAGCAGCAATGAATGGAAAGGGGGAAATAAAAGATTATCGTTTCGTGTCTTCCTAAATGGGAACATGCACAGCTTACATTCTGACAAGAGAATGATAATTTTTTCTGCCATAAGAGATTAACCCGAATAGACAGACTCTTTTATAATGGAGTGATGTCTAATTATGCTATCAATCATTGAAATCTTTGTGTTATGATTGACCACGTGCGCACGTCCGAATTTTCGCACAAACGTATTATAATTGATCATAATCGTATCAATCAAAGTATTTTTATACGCTCGACAATACACCTGCTTGGGCCACAATGTGGTATCAGTTTTCGAAATATACCTTGAAAATGATTTTTCACGGACGCTGAAAAAGTTATTGAGATCATATGCCACTTTACACAATAATTATATATCTATTCCTACTAATGTAAGCAGAATTTCTACATAAACTTGGGTATGTCGACGAGTGCATGTATACAGGAACATACACAATGGAGTGATAATCCTTAACAAAAATATTTATCTTTATGAACTCAAAATATATCTAACATTTGTGCGTAGAATAATGATCATGAGATAACTAAAAGATAGTTCATTCACTGACACTTTTATTGAGGCAATTAGAGATAGGTTTTCTTCAGAGTTCCAAAGGAATTGGCACTTTGAAAAGGGAATACCATTAAGTAGTTGTTTTGTCAGTTTGATGGTAAGCAAACCGATCGCGTTACACATGTCGAGTTTTTTGAAATGGATGACAGTTGTAATGAATTATTTGATATGATAACTATTAGGCCTGGAGTAAATGTTTTTTTAAATTACTACAATTATGAAGAAAGCTAGGTAAACGAAATGAAAATCCTTTCATTATATGTTGCTTTGCTTCCTAATTTCGTTTTCAACTACATGCATAGGTTTTGCAAAGGTTACATACGGTATAGTCGAATGTTTTTGAAAAGGTATGTTGTATTGGGAAGGGGTGGGATTGGTGATTATTATGGGCAAGATCCGCAAATTTGAATTTAACTTAAGCCTAAAGGGAATTTTGATACTTTTTTCTTTACGTTTTTTTCATTGTTTCATACTAGTTATGAAAATAAGATGAGTCTAACAATTATGTTAACCTAAAAAAACTTCATGGTGATCTTTTATAGTGTGAAAAACATTATCAAACGAATTGTATCAAACGAATGGAGTATTATCTGAGCTATAAGAATATAGATATCACGGTCATTGCAATGACAATTCATTTCAGTAACTAATCTTTCTAATGCCAGAGCACTTGTGAGACACCTACATACAATCCTGTCCAACTCGGAGACTTGATTTTTACTATGTTCTAAAGAACATATACCTGTAATACTGAACATTAGCTCCATCTCTTTTGATGTCATCACCATGCGTTCCACAGCCCTTAAAATTGTGCAAGTATTTTTACCCAAGGTATTTTAACCTTTATGTTAATTTAAAAAATCTCAACCCTCTTTCGAATTAATTTCGGAATTTTTACCGTGAGTCATGGAACCGATGATTTATTTTAAAATTGAATTTGATTTAAATTGAACAACCAAGGAAAATCAAGGTTGATTCTGTCATGTTTGGTGTTCATCATAATCGCCTTAAAAATATCATTCTGTGGTTACAAATCATCACCCCCAATCATTAACTCCCTGAAATTTCTACATCTCCTCGAGCCCCCCTCTAGGAGATATGTTCAAAAGTCGCCATTGTCCTCCCACGATTGGTGAAACACTCTACCTTCTCAACAAAATTCCATTTCTGTCGAGTCACTTTTCAAATATGTGCCTTATTTCGGAATGCTTTTCAGTTCTTAGTAATGATAAATATTTGATAATATGTCAAAATAGATTTTAGCCTATTGTTACATAATTTCATTGGATAAAGATCATTACTGGAAATGTAAATATGAATTTGCTCTCCAATGTACTCAAGATTTTGATATTCCTTCGTTTGTATCTGTCAATAGATTGTGGGACTGTGTTTATCTTTTTTTTTTTTTTTTTTTTTTTACATTTGAGACAGATTTTCTATCCCAATGATGCATACCTTTAATAAGTTAAGAACAATCATGAAGGAATCGTTCAGAAATGAGTTGCATTTACGAGGATGAACAATTGGGCCTTAAGCAGAAGATTTTGGTCTAAATTTCTGTTTAAAAAGGGCATTTTTTTAAATGTCAGTGGTGTGCATTTTTTGTCAGAAATTTTAGAATCTGTTCAATAAATTAAATTGTCAAATATGTTCATTAATTTTTCATATAAAAATTTATGTTTTGAAGTTGATGTCAGAGGAAGTTGCCTTTGAATCCCTTTGCTAATGAGTGTGTCGTTACCTTTCAAAATATGTCGATAACTTCAGAACTGACGATATATGCATCCTTTAGAACAGTGTTATACAGTTATTTTTGTCAAGACGATGATGCTGAGCTTGTGTAAGACATTGAAACGGAAATCTTCGAAAATCTTTTATTTCTTTTAAGATTTAATCAATACTTTTATCAAAATAACGTTGTGGTGATTAAAATAAAAAAAAAAAAAAACAAGAACTAAAAATTTATAATAAATGCAGTTTTTAAGGACCTCTAAACACTAAGGCAAATGTTTTTTGGACATTGAAATAAATCATATTGTATAAAGGTGTAAATTTTGAGCTTATCTATTTAATTTTCAAAATAGGGTACCTGGCATTTGCCCCCAGGAAAAAGGTTTTCAGACAACAAAGTACATGTACATGTTAATTCAGCGGGGAAAGATACAAGCAAATCAAATCTTCAGTAAATTTGTCTTGAGCTTCTAAAATGTTTAGAATGCTTGAATTGATTACCAAATGAGCAATACACTGTAGATTTTAATTTATTTTATTTTAGGTCTAAGAGAAAATTACTCCAACAGCAGATACTTCTTAGTGTGCAGTGTATATAGGGTTCTTAAACTAGAACGTGATGAGAAAAGTTCAAGCGAATCCTTATTGTAATTCTTAAAATTATAAATCCATGATTCATTGCTTATAAAATCTACATGCAATTCCTAAAAATCCCCTGTGATAGTGGATAAAAGCCCACGAATATCAATTTTAAACATACCGTAATGTCAGGCCTTCGGGACGATGTATCTTATTGAATAGGAATGTTTGGCAGTGATCGATCGCAAATATTTCACAACAATCCATCGTAATATAGCAAAGTTATGTCTGAAATTAGCATACAAAACACAAGAAGTCCGTGCAAGAACAAATATAAGGTGCTCTCTTCCTTACTTACGGATTTATTAGGCGTTACGATGTACACATGCTATGCCTATGTTCCTCTTTGATGGATTAACAAAGATTCTATACCATGCATTTCTTTCTCAATGTCAAAATTAATAGTATATCTAATTAATAATTATATTATTTCTAATACAAAATATTTTCTTTTTCTAAATGTCTAAATCATGGTGAAAATTATTTCACCCGTCATTAAATTAGATATGCATATTTGAATTTCAAAGTTGTTCAATATCTTTTATTTTCTAGACATTTAAAGAACAGGACAAAGCGTATTTTACAATTGAATGAAAGTGTACAAAATCTCTGTAATCTTGATACCTTGTGGTATTTGTGTGATGTTATATGACCCTATCATGCTTAACCTTTGACCTTCGTGTTCACACCTACTTATGCGTAATAATTTCTTTCATTTGTCAAGTGACAGTTGGAAATCGTGAGTGATGATTTTCGTGTGCGACTTAAATACATTTCACTCTATTCTTTTGTTCATCATTTGAAGTCTTTTTTTTCTTTCCTTGGTACTTCTTTTTCTTGCGGATTGTTTCAATACATAGCATTGATACACTAGACAGATAACATTAATCCGCAATCTGACGTCTTCAAAATCCTTCATTTAATGTGTCACTTGTAAACAGAGACTTTTTTTGGGTGAAATTTAACAGTTTAGTTAATTTCATCCCGAGTCACTATTGTTAATATACAGATATATATCTCCTATCCACAGCGTGCTAAGTACGATTTTATTTGGGATAAATATAATATACACGTCAATGAAATGTACAAAACTTAAAACATATTACCGTTTTCCAAAACCTATTAACTATCACTGTAATCATGAGACTGCAAAATTTATAAGTTAGATGTGTTTTGGGAGAGTCATCGAGATATAACTCTAAAACATGATATATCGGTACATATCGGTACCACCCCTGAAGCATGAAATTGCTGTGTTTAATGGTGTCAAAGTGTCATACATAAATGTGTGTGTGTTTTAATACCGCAAGTAATTCTATAATTTCTGTTGTATACAAGCAAATCAAACCATCATTAACTGTGGCTTATTAATATATAATGAAAATAGTAATATACTTGGGAGGAAAATAAAAATTGTTACATACATGTACATTGGTGCAACGAAGGGTACAATTGCATAAACTATGGAAGTTATTTTCTTTTTTAAAGAATACCATGTTTAAATTTTCACTTTAAATAAGTATTCAATCTTTTTTTTTTATGTAGAACTATTGTCTTCCTACAACATTTTGTTATCAGAACTTTATAACTTGTTGATAACAACGAGCTCTATTTTCAAACAAAAAGTTGGGGGAGGACAAAACGTTTTAAGGGTAGATTTCAAGATTATCTAATTTTAGACTCAGGTAATTGACAATTAAGCACGAAATCATATCAAATTTCTAATTTGTGTGTACTTATGATATACTTCATAAAGGATTATTCCAAATATACTATGGTGAATATTTTATCACAGACAAAAATCTACAATTGAACTTCCACATATCAATGAAGTGTTAAATCCTCTGTCTTTGTTTCCTAAAAATACAATGTATTTGAGAAGGCTCAGGTAGGTATAGTCAGTAGGAAAGTTTTATTCCCCCCCCCCTTATTTTATGAAACAGAAAGTGCATTTTATTAATCTACAGGAGAGAGAGAGAGAGAGAGAGAGAGAGAGAGAGAGAGAGAGAGAGAGAGAATTTTTCTCACAAGGTCTAGTGAAGAATTTCGTTTCATTTTTCTCATAAATCGGCGATAATAAAAGCGTGTACTTGATTTAAGTGTGATTTGTCACATATAGGAAATATTTGCAGGTGTATATGATGGATAATGGTGTAACGAATTATTTACGTTTTGTAGCCTTTTTTTTATCACGTTCAGACGTTTGGAATCTCCATTGGCAAATAATGATGGGGGTTTTATTCAGTATTTAAGAGGGACTCTCTATATATGGTAATCGTCTTCCATTAACGCCGGTATATTATGCATAATGTAACAAGAGATAAGATCAAACATAGGGTATAAAATTTTTATATTTTGGTTTTAAAAAAATTATGAAGGATTCACATGAATGTGAATAGCTGCCATCTGTCAGACTGAAATTCTGAAGTTGATGTCTAAATCATTTTTTATAAAAACATTTTCTAGCAGCTCAGTATGGTAAAAAAGTATTTGAAAACTAAACAATTTTGACCGATATCTGATATGCAGAAATGGAAAATATTCTTTTTTGTATATATTCAAAAATATATTCCTGTTATTTACAACTCTAAAGGTTTCTGTATATTTTTAAATTAAACGTTCTGTAGATCTTGTTGATATTCAAAAATAATTGTAAAATTGATTCGCATAAAATAATGTTACCCAGATCTAACTTTGACAACAAATGAGTAAGGTGACGACTTTGTAAAAAAAAAAAAAAAAAAAAAAAAATTCTACGGGAAAATGTCCTTAAGAAACCTGTTGTTAAAATGATCTCGAGAAAATTGTAAATGCATGAATGTGTGCTGTACAATAAATCACGGATAAACAGGACGAAATAGATAACACCTAGAAATTAGAGTCATACAATATTTTAATGACTGGTACTCCCGGTAGGTGGCGGTAACCTGAGCCAAAGGTTTGTGACGTCCGCCATTTTGGCAAAATGTTTAACGAGCAAAATTAGCTATATAAGTGAACTGTCTGTGGTAACGAGAACACGACACAGTTAATGGTTAGCTATTCACCTAATTCTCTTGTATACTTCATCCCTCTCTTTTTTTTTCTCTCTCTCTCTCTGAAAAAGACAATTTTCTAAAGAAAAAGAGGTTTAGTCCATCACTTGCTGTATTGATGTATGCAATAGGGTCTATAATATTTCATTTGATTCAAATTTAATTTATTACGGTGGTGAATTTACCCCTTATGTACATATTGCAGGGCTCCTAACCACGTGTACATAGAAGGGTACTGAAGGCATTTATGAAGCATTTCGTTATAAAGATTTAATTAAGTTTTTTATAGCTTTAAGGATAAAAATATAATTTTTTTTAAATCTCAAAAATCATGAATATAACAACTAAATCTATATTTATATAAATAAAATGAATAAGTTTACTTCCATGAAGTTTCATGTAACAATGATCCTATAATTAAAGTGATAAAGATTGTATAGATTTACAAGAGTGATGATGGCAAAACGGAAGAAAACTGAACATCATAGAAAGTCTGCAATTTCTAAATATTTAAGAGATTTGATATATGCATCATTTACGACTAAAATAAGTAAAAAAAAAAAAAATAGGCATACATACAGTTTTTGTGTCTCGTTAATGATAAGCAGAGAAAAGGTTATTATGGATGACTGCAAAAGTCGTTACTGATACGAACATGTACTTACTCAGCCCAAGGAACTTGCTCTTCTTCCAAGAAAAAATAAAATGCTTATAAAATCAGTGTATCTACCGAATAATCTTTTTTAAATAATATAATTTTTTTTCGAAATGTGTTGCACATTTATCTAAAATATTACGAGGCAATATTTGAGAAATATACATGCACACGGCCTGGATATAATTATCTTCTTATTCTAAATAATTATTATACTAGAGATCTAATGAATTTTTACTTTGACACGTCTGTAAAACTAAAAAAGAAATTTTACACCTCCAAATATATGGGTATATGTTTCAGTGTATTATATGCTCCCTACAAATACGTTAATATGTGATATCCTCAGAAAGCTAATACGGCATTTAATTCGCAACATTCTTTCATTCAAAAAGGATGCTCCAATTATGATGTCGGTAGCTTTTATATTACAGGTTGAAAATTTCCCCGCCACATATTGTATGTAAGCGTCCATGGTCGAGGACTTGTCACTATAAATTAGGGTCTTTTTAGGGCGTCTTTTCCCATGGAACGCTATACCGTGCGCAAATAACAACACTTCTAGACAATCTAGCATTTTATTTAATCAAGTTTGAGCTTCAAACGATTCGTTTGCATAGCGAAGATCAGCGATGGTAATTTATGAACCGAGGGAGCTCTGATAGTGAAAAGAGATTTGTTTGAAGTTGTAAAAATGATACTATCTTAAAGAACATCGCACAAACACCAAGTTTACAAAAGGGGGTTCGCCGAGTATTCACAATAGCTCTTGACGGTTTAGCTTGCTCTCGACACTGTCTGTACACGGAACTATATGTTTCATCTTATACTAAGAAATCTTTGTGAAGAAATTTTATTTATTTTTTTATTAAGATTTTTTTTTATCAGATTAATAATAATAATTGTATCACTATTTCCAAAATCGTTCAATATTTGTATATTATTATACTCTAAATATAGACTCTATTTGTATACAAATGTATACCAGCTACATCACATTTTTTTTTGGCCCTGCTTGTATATATAGCTTTTAATTTAATAAACGGAAATGGAAATCGATTTCGATTTCATCTTTGGTTGCAACAACTCACCATATATTTCATTACAGGCCGTCAAGGAAAATATGAACAGAGAATGCAAGTGTCACGGAGTCTCTGGATCCTGTACGATGAAGACTTGCTGGACCACCTTACCGCCATTTCGTCAAATAGGAGACCATTTATTTAAGAAATACAGAAGATCCAAACAAGTGGTGCCGATGGTAGGAGGACGCAATAGGCGTCCAGTTTATTTGACTCTGAAGCGGTCTCGGCGCTCGCACACAAAGCCAAGGCGATCAGACTTAGTGTATTTACAGAAATCTCCGAACTACTGTGATTATGATGAGTCTGTTGGTTCGCTAGGAACTGTGGGTAGGAAGTGTAATAGGACGTCTTACGATACGGACGGATGTGACCTCATGTGTTGTGGACGGGGTTACAATACCCATCAGTACACAAAAACATGGCAGTGTAACTGCAAATTTCATTGGTGTTGCTATGTGCATTGTAATAAATGCAGTGAGCGGACAGAGGAATATGCATGTAAATAATAAAATGACGTCATCTTCTGGGATGGAATGTTGGGATAACGATTCCGACAAAAAAATCAAACACGAAAAGTACATGTACTTACACGTACATTTACTAGGAAAAGAGTGCAATTTCAGTGTTAACACATATCAGACACTCCACGTTTTGTTTGATATAGCATTTACATTTCTTTCAATTGTGATATTTAAAACATCTAAGATGTCATTGTATATACCATTGTTTCATATTTTATACAAATTATATATTGTTGAATGTATTTATTTTTAGATAGTCTAAGAAATTTATACACTGACTTTGAAAATACGACTTTTTAGTAGTATTTTTTTTTAATCAACCCTTGTCCAAAACCCCACAAAAAATTATATTTATCTAAATTAAGCATAGAATCTTTCAAAGTGCTCCCGTATGATGCTATAGCATCAGTCTCATAAAATCTCCAAGTCTCATACATTTCCATTGTATCACTTGGCGAAAAATAGGAAAGTATCACATACATGTACTATTGTTTATTCCGAATAATTGTTTTAAAAATTCACTGTGCCGAATTCTTTCCACTTTTATCAAGGGAATACATGGGACACCCTCCTGAGCCAGGGATTTTTTTCCTTATAAATGAGTAATATTTAATTGGATTCTGTTGTATTTTTGAAAGTTATTTATCAATATCAAATGAACAAAATCTAGCAAAATATCTTTAAAAAGATGAAGAAAAAAATGAATTCTTTTGTTTCAAAGAATTAATATTTTCAAGTGCTTTTTAAGGGGGTGCGATTGTACCCAACGCTCCCCTTACCCATTCCAAAGGCTCTTTTTTTTAAGAATTAAATTTGTTGACATCCTACAAATAGAAATGTCCTCATGTATATTAGATTTCATCGTTAAATCTGTCTCAGAGTCGCTAACATTTGGAGTGACGTGTATGTGTATACATGTTTCAGTGTCAATTCAAGTGATCTGACGTGAACGTGTTACATGTATCTGCGTCATTTCCAATGATTTGACCTGTACATATATACACGTTTCTGTGTCAATTCCAGTGATTCGGCGTGTACGTGACTGTATGCATGTATAAGTTTAAATTCCAATAAATAGACGTGTACGTGTATACATGTATATGTGTCAATTCCAATGATTCGACGTGTACCTGTATGCATGTATCAGTTTTAATTCCAATAATTTGACGTGTACGTGTATACATGTATCTGTGTCAATTCCAGTGATTCGACGTGTACGTGTATGCATGTATCAGTTTTAATTTCAATAATTTGACACGTACATGCATAGATGTATCAATGTCAATTCCAATAGCGTAAAATCTTTTTATCTTTACATAGATATTATACATTGGCTATGTTTCAACTGTTTACATTCCTAGCTTAAAAATGAAAATAATATTTTCTATTTTCATGTTAACTCTTGTAATGCTTAATGTATGTTTTTGCATATGTAAATTGTTAAAATTGTAGTTATTAAGTTTTCAGATAGTAAGAACATAGCTTGTTTCTTGTTCAACCAAATGTGAATATTTTTTTCATTATTAAACATTCCTTTACTTTTTTTTTTTTTATTTTTGATGACAATTAGATCTGAGAATATTGCAGTAACAAATAATAGGACGTAAATCCTTTTATTATGTAATTTTCTTCTTATAATGTAAAACATTATTTGATTAAATTAACAATAATTTGTTTAGTTACCAAATGTCTTAAAAATTTCAACTTAAATTTTTTATATGAAGAAAAACAAAGATATTTTTTAATAAATTATATGTTTTAAAGAGCAACTGTCTCGTTTTATGAAAATAATTATGATAAAAAATATCTACGTTAAATGCTGCTTGGTATATAAAAGAACGTGCATTAAAATTTGTTAATTTGATAGCATATTCAGAGTTTACTTAATGAGTAGAATAGTATAATTTTAAAAAGAAATCATTAGCATTTAAAATACTACTTTGCTTCTTTTAAACAAGAAAAATAATCAGAAAATTTTCTTTTGCTGCTTATATTGTATTAAACAAACATTTACAGATTTATACGTCAATTTGCGAAAATTAAGATTAACATTTATTGGCATCTTAAAACGATTTATTATCGTTAGTGACCGGATTTTGGTGTAATGCAATCATGAAAAAAAAAAATTAATCAAGCTGTGGTAAGTATCGGTAGTACTGGTACAACGAAAAAATAGTAACTTAATCCTTGAAACTGAACGTGACTTTACGTTACATGTTCATATCCTCCTTGGAGACAGTTCTACAGCAATATATGATTTGGTATGAAACAACTGAAAATTCGTTTCGGAGGAATAAAAGTTTACTGCATACTATAATTATGAACATGGTATCCCATGCTTCAAATAACATGGAGTTTAGATTGTTAAAAGTTATATAGGAAATCAGATTTAACGTGAAATATGTCTTTCAGGAATCAACCAGATACCGTATTGAATTCCATATATCATCTAAAACATGGGTAAATAAATCTGTTTTACATGCTGTTAAAACCCCCAGTTTATAGTATGCTAGTAAATTTATTAAAGGAATATGCATTCAAATCACGAGAAAATGTTCTTACTTATGAACACTTACTATACTGAATCGGCTGGAAAACCAAAATGAGCAAGAGGTCAATGTACTATCCTTTCGTGCATGGTCATCCTAAAAAATAATTTTACAAGGGCAATGGCCAGATAAACACGGTGCATTGTTCTAATAAAATTGGACATTCGTTTCCCTCCTGCAAAAAAGTTGGATAAAAATATGTAAGGTATTGCAAAACTTTGGTCTAGATTGACATATATATATATATATATATATATATATATATATATATATATATATATATATATATATATATATATATATATATATATATATATATATATGAAGAGAACAAACAGTATTCATGCTCAAAATTCCATTGAAAGTATAAATTGTGAGCAGAGCAAACACGGACCTCCAAAACAGAGGTAGGATCAGATGCCATGGAAGAGTAAGCATCCCCTGTCGACCGGTCACTCCCGCCGTGAGGTCTTTGTCATGATCGGGTAAACGGATAAATCCGTAGTAAAGTCAGTATGAAAATAATGCCCTCACAATATGTATGAAAGACGTCAGTCAACATTTGACCTAATGATTGATATTATTTGCAAACAAGATCATGGTATCGACCAAAGTATTTGCGAAATGTAACCTGGCTCGTTTTAGAAATTGTTCCTATGAAGAAAATGCTCTTAGGTATCGAATCAACTTTGCGATGCAAACCCCATCGTTAAGGTGATAATATATATTGCTAAATAAACAAGCATTTGAGAGTATTGCATAAACTACCGGCAAGTGTAATCTGGTTCCCCTTAAAAATTAAAAAGGCCACAATTCAATCAAAAATCATTGAAGCGGAACAAAATGCAAACTTGATCTATATCTCATTAAGGCAGACTCACATACCAACAATTAGCTCAATATCTGCGTTTAGGAAAAAAATTGTGGAAAACCAAATGGTAAATTTGGTTCCCCCTTAAAAATTTTACAGTTTGGTAAAAGTTTATGTACTCATTGTAATCGTGCAAACAGTTTGCATGCTTAAGAAAATTTTCAACGGTGTAATGTATTTTCAATATATTACCAATTTAGCCCAATGCTGGAATCCGAAACTTGATCCCGGGGGCATGAATTTCATAATTTTGGAGAAGAGCTTACTGTTTAATGTAATAATGGATACAGATTGCCTGCTAAATAGCCATGAGAAGAGAAGGTTTTCAAATATTTATGACTTACTATGCCTTTGCTTAAGGCCTGAGCCATAGACCTTTGGGCCAGGAATTCCATATTTTTGGTATAAGTTTGAGCAATCATTATATTTATGCACAAAGTTTGCCCGACTTAGCACCATCCTTGTGTCTAACCTCAGGGACCATGAAATTCACACTTTTAGTATTTATTTGATATCCAGGAGTAAAGAGATCATGTCAATTTACTTTTGAATGTTTTAATTTGGCCAAACCGCTCAGGCACCAGGGAGTACAGAGACCACAAAAATCACAATAATATTTGATGCCCTTTGTCTATAGATGCTATACACCAAATTTCTATGGAACTGGTTCAGCCGTTCCAGAGAAGAATCTGAAAATATTAATGTTCAAATGTTAAAATGTAACGATCGACAAACAACTTATTACGGACGACATCTGACGACGGACAAAAAGAGATAGTAAAACGTCACCTGAGTGACTCGGATGACCTAAAAATCTACATTTAAGCATGTACTTATAAAGTAAAATAAAAACAAATTTCATCTATATCATTATCAAATAAAATTACTATAAAATCACTTTTTTGTGCTGATTCTAATGCTTATTCGAGGGGATTTAATTTTGTGGTGTCTGACACATCTGTGTTTCATTTTGAATATTCTACCAAAAAAAAAAAGTTAATGGTAATACAACAACAAAACTTTATGATCAACGTGATGACTTCAACTTTCCAATCGTCAACTTCCCTTACTTATGTAGCAATAAATTCTTATCACTTGCATATGGGATTTATGTCTCTCAGTTGATTCGATATGCAAAAGCATGTACGAACAATTTCTAAAAGAGGCAAGGTACTGACAGAGAAGTTGATGAAACAAGAATATCAACAGTCTCGTTTAAAGTCTTCATTTCGCAACTTTCATCGTCGAAACAATGACCTTGTTTGCAAACACAATTTGCAATACAATACAAGTTAAATGCTGACTAGTGTTTTTCATACTAACCCCCCCCCCCCCGTTTTTCCCCCATCATGACAAGGAGCACACGGCAGGTGTGATCGGCAGGGGATTCTCACTCCTCCATGGCACCTGATCCCACCTCTGATGTTTTAGAGGTCCGTGTTTGCTCTGCTCCTGATCTGTATTGTTTGAATGAACTTGTACATGTATACAGATACTCTTCTTCTTATCTCCATATTTCATTGGTAGATATATATGATAATGTCTTTGTTATTTCAAAATTTCATGGAGGACATGAATTCAGTCTCTTCATACCACGGAAACAACAAAAAATTAACATCCACGAAAATTAGTGAGAATGTTTGGTTGAGTCTCGAGAGGATTACAAATTTACAATACACAATTCTGTAGTAAGGAATGTGGTAAAAGCAAGAATATAAAATTATAAGCCAAGATTTTTTTCTTTTACACATAACCAGCACAACGATCAAATACTGTTGATAAAGACTTTCACATGGGGCCATCAAACAAAATATTAACAAAACATATGAACATCTATTATATGATTTCTTTTTAAATTTTGTTTTGAGCTTCCAAGATAAGTTTAAAGCAAATTTTCCTGTCAAAGTAGGCGTGGTTCCCCGCGTCTACATGCCATTCGATATTGAATCAGCCCCGAGCAAATCTGTCAGCGCGTTATATTGATACCTCGAATACCTGACGCGCCATCATTTTGTTTGTTTGTCCGTATTGTCAAAAAACAGCAGGACCGCAGACAAATTGCTCGCGAAAGATTCCTACACCTCTGGTGTGAAAGACCCCATCGACCGAACAGAGTCGCTAGGTAAATAAAAGACGCCTGAAAGAGGTTTTGAGAGGGCCCCCATCTGATCTGCGTTTGGATGTTTTGTCTAGTTTACACGACATGTCCTAAAAAGCAACTTGTTGCTAGTCACTTTATTTTTTGATGATTTTCCTTTCATGGATGTCATACCTTGAACTTTCATTAACTTGAATTTGAATGAATAGCCAAAATTTACAACAAAATATACCTGGTCATTTCGCATAATGCGATAAGAACAACCAGTTGTACCCTAGTATTCTTTTGTACTCACATACATCCCTGTCAAGGTTGTATATTTTTTCAAAAATCTTGTAAGAAATATTAATTAAAACATAAAGGAAACTCATTGCTACCTTTACATGAATTCTTGATATTTCCCCCAATTTTCGAATTAAATTCTAAAAAAAAAAAAAAAAAAAATAACAATAAGTATGTCAGCAGTTATAATGAGTGGAAAAGTTAGGTTAACACTCTTTTGCATTGTTTGTTCCCTTGTGTTTCATTTAACACAAAAGAATGTCAAGCATCCATTCAAGAAGAATTGTTTCCCATGTGTTTCTCTCAAGATTTGATAATGTATTCAAAATGTGGTAAGGTGATCATTAATTTGTAATATGGTTTGGAACTATTCTCTAATGATTAATAGAGGCCCATGTGAAAAGGAATGATAACTCTGAATAGAGATTGATTAATAATGACATATATTCATAGGAACACAAGTATCGTCGGCAAAAACAAGCAGATAAAACTAAAGTGTGGTCAACTTTTTATTTATTCTCATACAAAGTATACACCGTTGTTCATGCACGTGCCTGAAATACAGGGAAATCATCAACTGGTCGTAAGACATATATATGTATCAATCTTGAAACAGGAGTAAGCCCTTCGCGTCCAATTCAGTTAAGTTGAACCGATCTT